AGTTGCCCTCCCCTCTCCCACCCTCTCTCTTCCCATCTCCCACCTCCTTTTCCCAGTCTCCCTGAGTTCTGTTCAATAAAGAGAGTTTCTATTTTTGAACACAGGTGTCCTTTATTTTGTACATCAGGAAGGGGGGCTAGGGAGGGGTAAATGGAAGGAGGTGAGGGAGGAATGGGGTATGAGCCCCCAATTGGGAGGACTGGGGTGGTTCTGCAGGCTCCTCGGGGTGGAAGCTCTCCTGCAGCCCCCCCATTGACCATCCCCGGATGACAGCCTGTGGCAAGTGCAGCCAGGCTGATGGCCGAGTGCTGTGATGTGCCGAGTGCGGGCACTCAGGGCACTCCAAGCCAGGACTGCTTTGCAAGCGGGGAACCCCTGAGAACTGTCTGTCCCGGGTGGGGGTCGGGTCCCTTTAAGCACAGCCCTCGGCTAACCTGATGTCCTGCCGGCACTGCTTCCGGCCATCCTTAACCTCGGTTCAGGGTGCACTCAATGTGGACATGCTAGTTCGAATTAGCAAAACGCTAATTCGAGCTAGTTTTTTAGTCTGTATGCACTAGTTCGAATTAGCTTAGTTCGAATTAACTAATTCGAACTAAGTTAGTTCGAGTTAGCACTGTAGTGTAGACATACCCTGAGTCACCCTGAGACAAGGAAGGATTAGCAAACTGTAAAGATAGCTCATGGCCAATCAGATGGAATCCCACACTGGAAGAGGCTCCCATCTGTGACGGGGAATGCATATGCCACCACAACAAGGGCTTGAATTCCATGCCTGATATGTAGAAGGTTTTCCCCCCACAAAGCTGAAGAAAGAACTGTCCGAATAATGGACGATTTTGGTAATAGCGTGGTATAGCCAAGTCTGGACAATACAAAGAAAGAACAGAGAAGCTTAACCATACATACATCTTCCAAGATATATAACTTCTGTGTATTAGAGGAATATCAATATAAAATGACAGATTTATAGCCTATGGCAAAACCAGATGTTTACTATTATTGACAGAAACACTAACCATGAAAAAAACCCTAAGAAATTACTTGTTGTGTAACTTGTGTATAGAGATGTCCATGTACACATGTGGTACCTCCCATGTGTTTGCACTCAACTAGCCAGTGTTGGAGATTTTCTTGTTATCAATACCTGTCATGGAAGTGCATACACCCTGTACTTCATAATGGCCCCTTCCAAGGCTATGTAGACCCCTTACTAAAGGGGTCTCTGTTTTTTTTGTCTGGAAAAGACCCTATGTGCTACAATCCAGACTACAATTCCCATGAACCCTTGGGAAAAAACAGGAAGGAAGGACTCTTGTGTGGGAGAGGTCTCTCGCTCCATGTGCATGAAGAAAAGAGGCCTAGCAGTCTGGGACTCTGCCTTGGGAGCCAGAATGCTGCCAAGGAGTTTGATCCAGTCCAGGGGCTGTTGGATGCAGCTACAGACTGGGACTACATGCCTGTTGGAACTGGGAGTTAGCAGGCTGCTTCCGATAGGCACAGCATGAGGCAGTAAGTTTTGGGCCTCGTTGAAAAAGTGCTGCCTGGGACAGAGCTGCTGTCTAGCCTGGACCGAATCTCCACTACAGCTGCGACATCAGCGCGCCAACGCAAACAAGAGTCTGGTGTTGTGAGTCCAGGGATGTGCACACTCTGGGTGCGATCAATATTGGCAGTGCAAATGTTAGCTATATAAGCTTCAATCATTGTTTTGTGTTTTGTTAATGCTATTCATTGCTAATCTGTTAATCCCTGTTTATTTAAATTATGTAAAGACTGTATATTTTAAAGTATCCTATTAGATGTATATGATTTGTAGTTGTTCTGGAATTATATCCAGATTATAGTTGGATTAAGTATATTCCTGGACATGCATCTGATGAAGTGGGTCTTTGCCCACTTGGCATAGTGCCAAGAAGCTTATGCTCCTACACTTCAGTTAGTCTATAAGGTTCCACAGGACTCCTCGCCGCTTTTGTATATTCCTGGAGGCTCTCAAGGCACACCAGTGAGTGTGTATAAGGCCAGCCAGGTGGAGGCACTGTCACTGCACATTTATGATGAACAAGGGAACAGCAAGGGGGGTGGAAAGGGTTTCCCCCCCTCCCAAATTAAACACCATCATTACTGGGGTGCTCAGGATCTCCTTTTGAGTTAAAACATCAGGTGTCCAGGCACACCTGTGAGTGTGACATACTCCTCAGTAACCCGGGGAGGAAAAAGGGGGTTACAGCTATATAAGGGCAGGTAAATCTCAGGTATATTGCACTGAAAAAATGGTTAAAGACACCTATAAAGAAGGAACTGAGGGTCTATCATGGAATATATAAGGTCACACATTGATGGACATGTATTCCAGGGAGGTGATTCCCAGTCAGAGGAAGACTTGGTGTTTTCTTGAAAAATGATAGCAGGCCCATTTCATTAAAGTTTACTTCACACCTCAAGGCTATTGCCACAGCATAGTGCCAAGTAAACATGTGCACTAAGGCAGCAGTCTTCAGAAAAAAACTTCTTCTGAAAGAGAGGGTCCAGACCGCGAAAGTGCATCAAAAAAGTGATCTGTTTTTTCAAAAAATAGCATCCACACTGAATGGACGCTATTTCGCATTTAAGATGTGATTACTATGGATGAGTGGCCGCCTGAGCACCTATTTCCTTTTCTTTCAAAAGAACTCCCTCTTCCCCAGCCACACACACCTTTTTCTGAAAGAGCTCTCTTGGAAAAATGCTTCTTCTTTGTAGAAGAGGTTTACCAATGCCAGAAAAACCCCTCTGTTCTTTTGATTTTCTTTCAAAAGAGCATGATTGCAGAGAGGATTTAATTCAAGTTTTGTTGGAAAAACAGTTGTTTTTTTGGAAAAAACCTTCAGTATGGATGCTCCCTAGTGAGGAGGGCTTTAAAATAAGTTTGAAGGAGGCAGGTGACCAAAGACCACAGGTAAATTAAAAATATTGGACCTGGAGAAAAAGTGAGCAATTGGGGACAGCATAGGCTGAAATAGGAGGGATCGAGAAAAGACAACGCAGAACTGGGGAGAGACCCTACATTAGTATCTTAATTGTTTATATAAAAGATGAGAGAAGTATGGGGAATAATTTATGAATTAATTTGTAATACTAGTTAATGCATACAGCTATGCACAGCAGGAGATTTGGTGGGATAATACATTTAATTGTGATAGTGTTATAGAAGGGTACAGCTTGCTCAGAAAGAATAGTGGGCAAAAACACTTGTTGAATGTCTCTGAGTAAGGATGGGGGAAAAGGGGAAGAAAGATGTCATGGTAACGGTCTACTACACCAAACCTACCCAGTAATAAGAGATTGGATGAGGTTTTCTTTAAACAACTAACAAAATCATCTAAAGCATAGAACTTGGTGGTGATGGTAGACTTTAATTATCCAGACATTTTTTGGGAAAATAGCAGGGTACAGTTTTATCTAATAAATTCATGGAATTTATTGAAGACAATTTTTTCCAGGTCTCAAAGCTACAAGGGGAGAGGCCATTCTAGATTTGATTTAAACAAATAGAGAGGAATTTTGTTTTTCTCCATAGAGAAGCATACAGCACTGGCCTTTGTCCTTTCGGATGGTTATGAAACCCCATAGACTTTTCAAAGACACAGAGCATAGTATGGTGCATCCAGATGGAGAAATGACTGACCCTTCCTCCTCTCAACTACTGAAATCAGATCAACTCACCCTTTTCTTCCTTAGGTCGAGCTGCAAATGCAAGAAAAAACAAAACAAAACAAGTTACTTTTCAGTATAGGCACTTAACTCTTATCAAATTAGGGGCAGATTGAGTCAAGATTGACTTTGGTCCTTTATTTCTTTCATAGTAGAAATCTTAACCAGGCCTTGATTCATTAATAAACCTTCACCAGCCATTTACTTTTAGAGCTATTCACATGCTGATTCACCCAATACTGAAGACTAAAATAAGATTTTACTCCAGTCTATTTGTGAATAATTTGGCAAGAACTTTCAAGTTCACTAATATATATCAATATCTCTGTAACACACAATCCAAGACTCCTATTATGTCACTGGATATTATACAAATATTTATGTTTCAGTTTCACTGAACAATCCTCTTCATATGCACATTATCTTTCATAGAGTATCTGTTTTCTGAAGAGTTATGTTCAAAAGCATAGTGGAGTTCATTAAAAAATGCCATCGTATATAAGCAGCACTTATCTGATCTTACAAATATTCACATATGCTATTGGCAAATCAGGCACAGGGGAATCATAACAGTCAGGAGAGAGCAGAGAAGTTTACCAATACGTTATTCTATCTTCCAAGCGTAACCCACACACCTAGACTACGTCTACACTGCAGGCTTCTTGCTCAAGAACGGTTTTGAGCAAGAGTTCTTGTGCAAAAGTTCTTGCAGGAGAACGCGTCCACACTGCCATGTGCTTCTGCACAAGAACATGCATGGCAGTGTGGATGCTCCCTTGTCCAAGGAAGCTCTGATGGCCATTTTAGTCATAGGAGTTTCTTGCGCAAGAAATCCACATTGCCCATCCACACTGCCTTCTTGTGCAAGCGCTCTTGTGCAAAAAGGCTTATTCCTCATGGGGAGAGGAATAACTCTTCTGCAAGAAGCCCTCTTTTCTGATGAAGAACAGCCATTCTTGCACAAAAAGCCTGCAGTGTAGATGTAGCCCTAGTGTGGTTCACTGATCAATGTAGTGGCACCTAGAGCACAGCAATAGCTTAGATCAAGAGACCTCTACACCAGGGGCTAGGAGGTCTAACATCAAGCGCCCTCTACAGCATAGGCTATGAGGCAGCTGGCTTTTAGCTCAGAGGGCAGAGGCTCCTATAATAAGCCTCAGAGGTCCCAGGTTCAAATCTGCCTGGTGGTGGTTACAAGTAGGGGCTCATCTAGGCTCTCAATTGGGTCTCTGAAGCTTGGGACATGCTTCCTCACCTAGGGGACGTATGTAATCCACACACCTGTGGTTCACTGTCCTATGCAGTGGCACCTAGACCACAGCAATAGCTAACATCAGGAGACCTCTACAGCATGGGCTGGGGGCCCACTGCATGGGAGATTCCTGTGCATTGACCAGAATGTAGAAATGAAACATGGACTTACTTATTTTCTACTCTAGGTTGTGTGAAAAAGAAATAAATATTCAGCATTAGTTACAGAAAGTGCTATCATTAAAGGGTCAAAGAGGAACTAGGTGATGAAAATTTAAATTAAAGCACTTGGTTCTGCGATGTTTATGAAATGTGGACACACAGTCTCTTAGGAGATGCACCCTATTCAGAGGTATGTTGCTTTGTCAGACACTTACCAGCTTCCTTCACAAATCGTCCTAAAAAAAATCAGCAGATATTTAATCAAACTATATCATGCACAAATAATGTAACAATAAAGCATAAACGTAAACACAAAATTGGGTCTCCAGTCACCAGAGTAGCTGAGGACAATTAAAACCAATGAATATTTTTAGGAGGAGATTTTCAAGGTACAAAGGGCTGTACAGTGCCTCACTCCTATTGAAAAGCATTGAAGGTTGGGTGCTTAACTCTGACTTGTGCATTTAGAGTCTCGTCACTGCAGACTCATGTTATGTTTAAGTCTGTAAACAAGCAAAAGATTTAAATCTGTGCCTTGCTCACAAATGTCATTCAGCCCTTTACGTTTAGGTAGTTATTTGAACTTTATTATTTCATGCATCTGAGGAAGTGGTTTTTACCCACAAAAGCTTATTCCCAAATAAATCTGTTGGTCTAGAAGGCACCACAGGACTCCTCATTTTTTTTACTTCAGCATGCAGCAATTCTGAGGCAAGCACAGGAAAAGAAGGATGCAAACTCATCCCCACATCTACCTTATTCTATGGCTGCAGGTGCTGACTATAAAGTGCTGACTAGTCTGACTATAAAGCTGCATCTACACTCTAGTGCTTAACTCGAAATAAGCTGTGCAAACTGAGCTACATCAATTGCGTATCTTATTTCAAAATAGCTTATTCTGAAATTGGGAGCATCTACACATCACTTATTTCGAAACAGAGCACTTTTCCTCACTTACTTCCCTTACTCCTCATATAATGAGGGTTACAGGAGTCGGAGTAAGAAGTCCTCCAGTTTGACAGTATTTTGACACTATTTCAAAATAACTGCCTGCTCTGTAAATGTAGACTAAGTTATTTCAGAATAGCGCTAGTTATTTCGATATAGTGTTGCAGTGTAGGCGTACCCTAACAGACCTTACGTAGGGATACACTCTCTGAGAACAGCCAGATCCTGGCTAAGTGCTATAATCAATGGACTATAGAAAATAGATCTTCTCTGCAGCTGACCCAGCTCCCTTTGGAAGTTAGACTTAGGCCACGTTTCCTTAACATTTCCTATTGGTTAGCTTAGGCAATACAACATGTTACAATACAACATATAGCTTAGGCAATACAACATCAGAGAGTTGTTGTTAATGGTGCTAAATCCTGCTGGAAAGGGATAACAAGTGGAGTTCCGCAAGGGTCTGTTTTGGGACCCGTACTGTTCAATATCTTCATCAATGATGTAGATATTGGGATAGAGAGTACGCTTATTAAGTTTGCAGATGATACCAAACTGGGTGGGGTTGCAACTTCTTTGGAGGATAGGGACATAATTCAAAATGACCTTAGCAAGTTAGAGAAATGGTCAGAGGTAAACAGGATGAAGTTTAATAAAGAGAAATGCAAAGTGCTCCACTTAGAAAGGAACAATCAGTTCCATACATACAAGACGGGAAGCGACTGTCTAGGAAGGAGCATGGCAGAAAGGGATCTAGGGGTCATAGTGGACCACAAGTTGAATATGAGTCAACAGTGTGATGCTGTTGCAAAAAAAGCAAATATGATTCTAGGTTGTATCAACAGGTGTGTGGTAAGCAAAACTCATGAAGTCATTCTGCCGCTCTACTCTGCACTAGTTAGGCCTCAGCTGGAGTACTGTGTCCAGTTCTGGGCGCCACATTTCAAGAAAGATGTGGAGAAATTGGAAAGGGTACAGAGAAGAGCAACAAGAATGATTAAAGGTCTAGAGAACATGACCTATGAAGCCAGGCTTCATGAACTGGGCTTGTTTAGTTTGGAAAAAAGAAGATTAAGGGGGGACATGATAGCGGTTTTCAAATATCTAAAAGGGTGTCACAAGGAGGAAGGAGAAAATTTGTTCCTCTTGGTTTCTGAGGACAGGACAAGGAGTAATGGGCTTAAAGTGCAGCAGGGGAGGTTTAGATTGGACATTAGGAAAAAATTCCTAACTGTCAGGGTGGTCAAATATTGGAATAAATTGCCAAGGGAGGTGGTGGAATCTCCCTCTCTGGAGATATTTAAGAACAGGTTAGATAGACATCTGTCAGGGATGGTGTAGACAGAGCTTGATCCTGCCTTGAGGGCGGGGGGCTGGACTCGATGACCTCTCGAGGTCCCTTCCAGTCCTATGATTCTATATCCCAGTCCTATAATTCTATGATTCTATGGTTCTATGTTGGCTTCTGGTTATCCCTTTTTTAGGCATCTCCCTCTCCCCATGCATTATATGATCATCCCCCACTGTGACTGTGTATTGCTCTAGGCAGGTGAGTGCGTAAAGTGAGGCACTGAAATGCTGAGTTTAAGTCCCTTTTGTGTATTTAGCTCAGAACACCACAATCTCGTGGAACTCTGAGGGTTCATACATGATCTTGTAGAGTTTGGGAGAACTCAGCACTGGTATTCAGCTCGGCCACATCATAGGAGTTATGAAGAGTGCAATAATTTTGGGGGCTCACTGGTTTCTCTGGGTGATTTACTAGGACAATTGGATTGTGAAGTTCCTCAGCTACAGGAAATGAACAGACAAGAGGTCTGATTCGGAAGAGTGCCTTAGGAGATGCAGAACTAGCTAACTATCTAGAGCCCATTGGCTTATGACCATATGGGACCAAGGAAAGGTTTCAGCAGTCAGGAACTGCAGCCAACCTAATCATAGAATTATAGAATCTCAGGGCTGGCAGAGACCTCAGGAGTCATTGAGCCCAGCCCCCTGCCCAAAGCAGGATCAACTCAATCATCCCAGCCAGGCCTTAATCAAGCCAAAACTTAAAAACCTCTAGGGATGGAAATTCTACTCCCTCCCTAAGTAACCCATCCCAGTGCTTCCCCACCCTCTAGGGAAATAGTTTTTTTCCTAATATCCAACTTAGACCTCTCCCACTGCAACTTGAGACCATTGCTCCTTGTTCTGCCATCTGTCACTACTAAGAACAGCCTCTTTCCATCCTCCTTGGAACCTCCCTTCAGGAAGTTGAAGGCTGCTATCAAATCCCCCCTCACTCTTCCCTTCTGCAGACTAAACAAGCCCAAATCCCTCAGACTCTTCTCATAGATAATGTGCTCCAGCCCCCTAATCATTTTCATTGCCCTCCATTGGACCTAATGAACACAGCTCACCTGTAGTAGTCTAACAGGCTGGCTTTACTGCCTGAACTGTTGGAAGTTCAGCAGACCAGCTCTTAAGACCAGCAGCAGCAGCAGCAGCAGTTCAGAGTTTGCTCAAACCATTCACCTGTGACTGTGATAGTTCCTGCAACTGTTTGCTCCCAGTCTTGCTCCTGACTTGGACCCATCCTTCTCCTGCCTGGCCTTGCTACAAGTAACCCAGTTCCAATCCTTGGTTCTGACTTCAGGTAACACAGATCTGACCGTGTTCTATGGAGGTGTAGCCAGTTTTTGAATAGAGTATAAACCTTGCATGTGGCATGCATACATCATGTAGGTTCATACATTTTTTTAAAAAGTTTGTATTTCAAAACAAGTGAATCTTCCATTTACTTCTCTATTGGATAAGGGGAAGTAATGAGAACTCAATGGTAACTTACGGTTTTCATCAGTAACTTGGCCTGAAAAATAACACATTTCATACTTTTTATTTTTTTTAATTGGGGAAAACTAATAATTAAAGTTGATTAGCAAAATATTTTACTAAAGAACTCTATACATCAGGAAAAAACCCCACACAAAACCAAAAACTTAGCTCAGATTCTGTTCTGAGTTACATGAATTTAAACATGGAGTAAATTCAGTCACTTTCACAGAATTATCTATACAATAACTTTTCTGAAATATACTTTGAAAAACTGGGCCCTTTACTTTGTCTAAATGGGTCTTATTTTTGAAAATTGGAGGCATGGTGTAAAATGTGCTCTCAGTTGGAATTTTGAGAAACCAGAAAAACAAGACTTGCTGTTAGTGTCTAGGTCACTGGCCGCTTGTTGTGTGGCTGGTGAGTGCAGGCAGGCATTGGCTGGTTGCATGTCACCTCTACTGCCCAGGCTTTACATGCCTGACCGACCTAACCCAACTCTCCCTTTACAGTGTTCTCCACCTTCCATGCCTAGCTAAACACCAGGGACAGTCCCACCTCTCCTGCTACCTAGCACCACATCTTCTAGAGGCAACATGTGGATGGCTTTTGTGATGTCAGCAGACCCCAGTCACTTATGGGCAGAATTGAATTAAGACCTCTGGAGCAAGTGGGCCTGAGCAAATGGGGACCTCCCCACTTTGTTTGCCTACAGTCACTCCCTAGCATCCTACCTCGTTATGGAACACCAGAAAGTTAGGGAGAGTGGGATACGCTTCATGCCCCAACCACACTCACTGGCTGGAGCACCAAATGGGCAGATCCAGTCAAGACAGGACCATTTTTCCAGCACCTCCACACTTGGTTGGGGCCCCTGAACATGGACCTTGTAGTTAATCTGCCACTGATTATCTGATACAGGATGTACAAATTGATAGAATGAAGGTTGCCCTGGAAACTGGATATCAGTTATTGTCTAACGTTCAACTGCTTAACTTACAGCCTAATAACATCCTTTTAACACAGATATTATTTCCAGTATTGTTAGATACACTTTGCACTTGCTGTCTAACTATAGTTCAAGGATGATTGGATGGAGAACCCAAATTTCAGCAAAATATTTAAACATGGGACAAACTTTAAGTACATGACTTAAAAATACTCCTATTGACTTCAAAAAATATGAATACATTCTTCCCTAACTCCCTCTGAAAGCCAATTGACCTGAATATATATCATTCTAGTTATTGGAAGGGGTGTGAGTGTGGACAGACTTGTCATTAATCTTATTTTTTTCATAACAATTCATGCTATATCATAATATATATATATGATATGCTATATCATAATATATATATATGGCATGGCAATTAACAGTTGCCAATATTTTAGATTAGCCCACAATAATTCTTAGCTAATTCAATATCATTAGCTTCCTAAGTCTAGTAGTTTGCCCTTCTCTTTGTTCAATTCACATCTTTTTTTGTTCAGCATCATATCATTTTTTTTACCAAAGTAACACTGACATTAACTAGCAAGATGTCTCCCCCTCCCTCTTGCTTTCATCTCTAGCCCTGCCCCCTGCATCTATCCACTCCAATAAAACACAATAAAAGCCGCATTGTGCCTCTACCTTACATAGGTATAGAGGGTGCAAGAGACCATCTCTCTCTGTCATCACTAATAAAAGGATCCAACACAACAGCTCCAGACTCTAGTTCATTCCCCACCTACTTCACCACTCATCTGCCCGGTGGGGGAGGAGGAAGTGCATTAAACCCAATAGATTCCTGTTGCATTGCTACTGCAGACTGAATACTGCAATGAGAAAGTTAGTGTAGGACACTGGGCTGTTTTATCATCAGTTTGTTAAATTTAGGCATTTAAATATGGTATTTTAGGAATGACAGTTACTTGTAACTGGAGAACTTGGTAATGAGCCTTTGCATATTCACACTCATCAAGGCAAGTTCATTGTGAGTTGCCACAATGTTCTGCAGAGCAGTGTCCTTTGGGGTTAAGCACCCTTATCTTTTAAGCATCCTTAACTTGTGCCAGGAAGCTATCCCCAAAATTCTCCAAAACCTTCCTAGATTGTCTGTGTACTGCTGTATTGGTCTTCCAGGGTTATTAAAGTCCCCCATGAGAACCAGGGCCTAAGACCTGAAAACTTGTCTTAGTTGTCTGAAGAAAGCCTAATTTGCCTCATCCACCTGATCTGGTGGTTGATAGCGGAATGCTTCTTCAGCCTTCTGAGTTTGTTTTATTAAATGTTGTCTTGTATCCAGAAAGTCTTTATCTTCTCATCTGAAATGCAGGGCTGATACTTGGGCCTCTAGTCCTTTAACCTTCTCTTCCAGAGACCAGCTTGCACTTAGTGCAGATGAAATCTCTTCTATCTTCCAGGAGGAAGACGAACATGACACATACTGTGCAGACCACAACTGCAGATCTATCACTATCCAGACCCATCTTCCTTCTGAGAGACTCCTCAAATGTTGTTTTTATTGCCCCCTGAAGCTTGAAGGGGAGAAGAGAGAGAAAGAGAAAAAGGAAAAGAACAAAAGCAAGAAAAAACATCAACCACTGTGAGGCTCCCCCTAATACAAATTCCAGGCAAACTCCCCTGTTGCCTGCTCATCTAATTTGCTCTCTCTGCCTTTTTTTATAATGTTGCTGGCTAGGCCTGTCTCAAAGCCTTGTCTCCAATCCAATCAGCCCCTGAAGTACCAACTAGAACAAAGCACTCCCAATTCACACTTTTCAAACTGCTAAAGATATGGTCAAACAATCACAGACAGACAACACTTGGATAATCATATCACCTGCATATTTCAACTGATTAACATTGAACATGCTTAACTATGAGAAATTTTACCAGGTATCCTGTATTCATCATGGAGAAATATGGTCCATAGTGTTATAGAAGGGTACAGTTTGCTCAGAAAGAATAGTGAGGGGAAAATATATTATATATAGAATATATTAAAAAATTATACACTTGAACTGAACATAGGAAATAGACTTGTTGAATGTCTCTGGGTAAGGATGGGGACAGAGGGGAAGGAAAATGTCATGGTAGTGGCCTACTACACCCCACCTACCCAGTAATAAGAGATTGGATGAGGTTTTCTTTAAACAACTAACAAAATCATCTAAAGCATAGGACTTGGTGGTAATGGTGGATTTTAATTATCCAGACATTTTTTGGGAAAATATCAGGGTACAGATTATCTAACAAATTCATGGAATTTATTGAAGACAATTTTTTCTAGGTCTCAAAGCTACAAAGAGAGAGGCCGTTCTAGATTTGATTTAAACAAATAGAGAGGAATTTTGTTTTCCTCCAGAGAGAAGCATACAGCACTGGCCTTTGTCCTTTCGGATGGTTATGAAACCCCATAGACATTTCAAAGACACAGAGCATAGTATGGTGCATCCAGATGGAGAAATGACTGACCCTTCCTCCTCTCAACTACTGAAATCAGATCAACTCACCCTTTTCTTCCTTAGGTCGAGCTGCAAATGCAAGAAAAAACAAAACAAAACAAGTTACTTTTCAGTATAGGCACTTAACTCTTATCAAATTAGGGGCAGATTGAGTCAAGATTGACTTTGGTCCTTTATTTCTTTCATAGTAGAAATCTTAACCAGGCCTTGATTCATTAATAAACCTTCACCAGCCATTTACTTTTAGAGCTATTCACATGCTGATTCACCCAATACTGAAGACTAAAATAAAATTTTACTCCAGTCTATTTGTGAATCTTTTGGCAAGAACCTTCAAGTTCACTAATATATATCAATATCTCTGTAACACACAATCCAAGACTCCTATTATGTCACTGGATATTATACAAATATTTATGTTTCAATTTCACTGAACAATCCTCTTCATATGCACATTATCTTTCATAGAGTATCTGTTTTCTGAAGAGTTATGTTCAAAAGCATAGTGGAGTTCATTAAAAAATGCCATCGTATATAAGCAGCACTTATCTGATCTTACAAATATTCACATATGCTATTGGCAAATCAGGCACAAGGGAATCATAACAGTCAGGAGAGAGCAGAGAAGTTTACCAATACGTTGTTCTATCTTCCAAGCGTAACCCACACACCTAGACTACATGTACACTGCAGGCTTCTTGCTCAAGAATGGTTTTGAGCAAGAGTTCTTGTGCAAAAGTTCTTGCAGGAGAACGCATCCACGCTGCCATGTGCTTTTTGCACAACAGATGTACTTTTGCACAAGAGCATCCATGGCAGTGTGGATGCTCCCTTGTCCAAGGAAGCTCTGATGGCCATTTTAGTCATAGGAGTTTCTTGCGCAAGAAATCCACATTGCCCATCCACACTGCCTTCTTGTGCAAGCGCTCTTGTGCAAAAAGGCTTATTCCTCATGGGGAGAGGAATAACTCTTCTGCAAGAAGCCCTCTTTTCTGATGAAGAACAGCCATTCTTGCACAAAAAGCCTGCAGTGTAGATGTAGCCCTAGTGTGGTTCACTGATCAATGTAGTGGCACCTAGAGCACAGCAATAGCTTAGATCAAGAGACCTCTACACCAGGGGCTAGGAGGTAGCTGGCTTTTAGCTCAGAGGGTAGAGCCTCCTATAATAAGCTTCAGAGGTCTCAAATTCAAATCTGCCTCGTGGTGGTTATAAATGGGGGCTCATCCAGGCTCTCAACTGGGTCTCTGAAGCTCGGAACATGCTTCCTCACCTAGCGGAATTATGTAACCCACACACCTGTGGTTCACTGTCTCATGCAGTCACACCTAGACCACAGCAATAGCTAACATCAGGAGACCTCTACAGCATGGGCTGGGGGCCCACTGCATGGGAGATTCTTGTGCATTGACCAGAATGTAGAAATGAAACATGGACTTATTTTGTACTCTAGGTTATGTGAAAAAGAAATAAATATTCAGCATTAGTTACAGAAAGTGCTATCATTAAAGTACCACCTGGAACAAAGCACTCCCAATTCACACTTTTCAGAGTGCCAAAGACATGGTCAAACAATCACAGACAAACAAATACATGGAGACTCATATCACTTGCATATTTCAACTGATTAACATTGAACATGATTAACTATGAGAAATTTTAACAGGTATCCTGTATTCATCATGGAGAAATATGGTCACCCTAAGTTTGTGATGTCCTAGACCAGAGCAAGTGGGGACCCTCCCCACCACTTCTGCTTGCTACAACCCCCTACTGCTCTTGCTTTTGTGAAGGGCAGGCAGAGGAGAGCAAATCTCAATACTCCAACCATACTCACTGGCAGAAGTAAGGGGCAGGACCAGCAGGTCAGGTCAGTGGAGTTCTCATTTTTCCAAGGCTCCAGCACTTGTTCAGGGCCATTTGGCATAGGCCATATCGCTAATCTACCACTGCTGATCTGATAGAGGATGCACAAATTGACAGACTTGGGTTGCTCTTTCAGCTGCTCGACTTTGCATCCTAAATAATGTCCTTTTAACACAGCTATGGTTTTATACTTTCCAGTACTGTTTATATATGTGTAATCCTTTTGAACAGCCTGTCTAACAATATTTCAATAGTGATTGGATGGAGGACCTCAATTTCAGCACAATATTTAAACACAGGACAAATTTAAGTACACAAATAATCTTTCTCTTTGATAACATAACACACTGTATCATCAAAAATATTATGCATGATGCACTAATTCACAGTTGCTAATATTTTACATTAGCCCACAAGAATTCTTACCCAATTCAAGATCATGTGATTTCCTGTGTCTTTCTAAAAGAGAAAACAGATACATGGTATTTAATCTAGGCATGCAGATCATTTTCCAGTTACTGTTTCTCATATGTATCATATAAGATCACATTATCCAATTTACCAAACACAAGATGTAGAGAAAGATAATATTCTGTCATGCAACAAATGTTTCTCTTTTTCGTCAACCTAAAATTACTTCTACAGTTCATAACAAGAACATACCACATTTCCTGGCAGTGCTATCCTGCTGATAAAAAACAAGTTTGTTACCTCTCAAATAATAGTTTCTGTGTTCTTTGGAATGTCATGAAAGTCACTAAGGGTATGTCTACAGTACCCCGCTAGTTCGAACTAGCGGGGTAGTATAGACATACCCTCTGAGTCCCTAGTGATACTATGTAGTAACCAAAGGATTAGGTTGTTTTCATGTCTGTGGTCCCAGATTAGATTAAATTGATTTTTGAAGATTAGATTTTTATTCTTCCATGAAATTGCCATGTGGAAAACCTAGGGCCAGCACTGATACAATTTACTCTCTGGGACAAATATAAAGTAGAGTCTGAATTAATTTGCATTAAAATGTCCACCGTTTTTGCCAACTGAGCAATTTGTTGGCAAAAAGCGGCAGTCTAGAGGGGGATCTGTCAAGAAAGAAAGCCTTTTTCAACAGATCCGGTAAACCTCCTTGCAGGAGGCATAACAGATCTGTCAAAAAAGGCTTTCTTTCTCTAAGATGTCCATTTTTCAAGACACTAAGCACTGTTATCTTGCTTCAGTAACACACTGTGTGCCAAGTAGATCAGGACAATCCCCTCCATGTCTTACACACAACACTCTTGCTAATACACCACACACTGATATTAGACTTTTTCATTCCTATATCACTTTGTTGACTTAATTTGTCATCTATTAATACCCTCGGCAGCATTAGACTTTATTTTTTCCTTTTTAAGTCTAGTAGTTTGCACTTCTCTTTGGTCAAGTCACATCCTTTTATGTTTAGTATCACACCATCTTTTCCCAAAGTAAAACTGACAATAACTAGCAATAACTAGAGGGAGCTGTCTCCCTCTCCCTCTTCCTTTACTCTGTAGACCTACCCCCTGCACTCATTCACTCCAACAAAACACAAGAAAGGCGACATTGTGCCTCTCTACTTTACATAGGTATAAAGAGTGCAAGAAACCATCTCCCTCTGTCTTGGGCTATGTCTAGACTGTATTGCTTTTCTGGGATCCCAGAGGGATCTCAGAAAAGCTTTGCCATGTCCAGGGAATATGTCTGCTTTTTACATTTTTTTTAAGCGGACATGGTCTTTAGCCATCCCTGTACACCTTGTTCTATGAGGAATAAGGGATGTGTTGAAAGAGCATTTTTTTCTGAAATTTGGCACTGTGTAAACATGCCAAATTTCAGAAATGCCTCTTTCGACAGAAAATCAGAAAAAGATATGCAATTTACGTGCCACAAATTGTTTTTCTTTTTCCGATTTAACATTGCAGTATGGACCTAACCATCACTGATAAAAGAATCTAACACAACAGCTTCAAACTCTAGGCCAAGGCTGGACAAGGTGTGGCCTGGGGGCTGGATCAGGCCTGTTTAACACTTTGATCTGGCCCACAGGCTGCATCTGGACTCTTTCTATTTATATCCTACTGCCTGTGCCTCAGGCAGCAGGATCTTATTTAAATGGTTCATGGCTCACTGTTGTGGCACTACCCCAGCATATGCTGGAGCTATGAGCCCTTTAAATAGCCGCAGCAACCCCAGGCAGCTGCCAGACAACTGGGTAGCAGCAGGGTCAGTAGCCAGGAGCCTTTTGCTTTGTTTTTAATTCAAGGCTTATAGTACCAGGCAACTCTGAGGGGAACGCTAATCCTCAGCCCCGCCCCTTCTGCCTAGGCTCTGCCCCTCCTGGGCTGTGTTCACTTACCAGAAACCAAATTCATTAAGTGGCCCCCCTTGTGAAATTATTACCCATCCCTGGCCTACTACAACCAGACACCATTTTTTCCCATGTCAGCTAGCCCTGTTGCCCACTGCGGCAAGCCTCATTTTATTGTGGCTCTGACTCAAACCTCCCATAACAGTTAATGTAGGTAATGAATGACTCAACCTGTAGGTGTAAGTACAAGAGCTCCAGCCTGCTTAGCTAGTTGTTTTTTTTCAAAGACCTAATGCAGACATCTGATTCCCCCCCGTCTTTCCCCACAGACCCCTCTGCCCCAAGATGGGAAGAACTGAGGCCCTGTCAATGCTTAATGTTGGTAACTGCCTGCATATGTGGGAATATGCAGAGGTCTTTAAAAAAAAAAGGACTGTTCAAGTGATGTCTTTGGCATTTAATACAGCCATAGTAATAATTACAAATCAATATTTTTGTTTCCTAAATACATCCAAAATATATTAAAATAATCAATAGCCTTTAATGTGCATACTTTTACCTAAAAAACTGAACTTGAGCTGCAGGATGATGATGATGATGACAGCGATGGAGATAAAGACAACTATTATCAAAATTGGTATAGGGATCCAACCTATGACAAAGAATCAGCCAAGAATTAACAAAATTCCAGTTGATGTGCTATATTATTACAAATATGTTTCTATTTCAGACATTTAAATAATTGCTCTCAGATGTCATGTCAGCAATGCAAAACAGAAAAAAAAAAAAAACCAACACAGGTTGGATAGGGGAGGTTGGAGAATAAGGAAATAACACATAGTGAAAATTAAGAGTTAGTTCTGTTTCATACCTGATCAGAAGCCATAACATCATTGTATAGAACAGCACAAACATTTTAAGGAAGACACTATTTCACCTAAGGTTTCCATCCTGCAAACATTTATACATGTGCTTAGCTACAATTTATTTGGACAGTTCATGAAGAACAGGTGGGAGAAAAAAGATGAAGGAGTTGCACTTTATATAAGAGAACAGTAGGATTGCTTAGAGTTTTAGTATGAAACTGGAGAAAAACCTTTTGAGAGTCTTTGGTTTAAATGTAGAGATAAGCGCAGCAAGATGTGGAAAGAGAGAGTTAAGGTGCATGTCAGCTATAGATCATCAGACTAAGGGTATGTCTAGACTACCGGGTTTTGTCGACAGAAGTTTTGTCGACAGTATCTGTCGACAAAACTTCTGTTGACAAAGAGTGTCCAGACACATTGAGTTCTGTCGACAAAGCAAGCTGCTTTGTCGACAGAACCCTGTAGTCTAGACGCAATCCTACAGGCAATAACACCTTCAGTCGACAGAACTCTGTCGACAGAAGGTGTTATGCCTTGTAAAAAATGTCCGGTATTTTCTGTTTTTCTTGAACAGAAGGCCAGTGGGAACATTCTTATTCTGCTTCATCTGGCGGGTATGGTGGGGAGCTGGGAGTGCGGGGATACTTAAAGATAACATTTTTTTTTGTGCTTAACTTATTTTTTCCTTGCCACGTTTGGTATTTTTTTTCAAAGTATCTGGCAACCCTAAGCCTGATTGCCTTCTTTGATGGGGTAACTGGCTCTGGAATGTGGTGGATGTGAAATATTTTAAATTTAGCAAAGCTTTTGATACTGTCTCTCACAGTATTCTTGCCAGCAAGCTAAAGAAGTATAACTTGGATGAATGGACTATAAGGTGGATAAAAAGCTGACTAAATCATCAAGTGCAATAGGTAATGATCAATGGCTCAATATTTAGCTAACAGTCAGTATCAAGCAGAGTGTCCTTGGGGTCAGTCCTGGGGGCAGTTTTGTTCAACATCTTCATTAGTGGTTTGTATGTTGGGATGGAGTGCACCCTCTGCAAGTTTGTGGATAACAATGAACTGGGATAGGGAGAGAAGCTGATACAATGGAGAGCAGGGATAGGCTCCAGAGTGACCTAGGCAAATTGGAGGATGGCGCCCAAAGACATCTGATGAGGTTCAACAAGGATAAGTGCAGAGTCCTGCACTTGGGATGGAAGAATCCCAAGCATTATTACAGGTTGCAGATCAAATGGCTATATGGCTGTTCTGCAGAAAAGGACCTGGGGGTTACAGTGGATGAGAAGCTGGATATGAGTCAACAGTGTGCCCTTGTATCCAAGAAGGCTAATGGCATATTAGGGTGCATTAGCAGGAGCATTGCCAGCAGAAGTAATTATTTCTTTCTCTTCAGCACTGGTGAAGCCATAACTGGAATTTTGTGTCTGGAAAAGATGCAGAAAGATTGGAGAGAGTCCAGAAGAGGTCAATGAAAATAATTAGGGGACTGGGGCATGTGACTTCTAAGGAGAGGCTGAGAGAATGGGGCATATTTAGCCAGTAGAGGAGAAGAAAGAAGGGGGATTTGATAGCAGCTTTCAAGTACTGGAAAGGGAGTTCCAAAGAGGATGGAGCCAGGCTGTTTCCATGATAGAAAACTACAGAACATGGAGCATGGTGTCAGTTGCAGAGGAAGATGGGCATTCCATCACCTGCCTAGGCAACCCATTCCAATCCAGAAATAAGAAATTAGACCAGTCTGAAACAGAAAGCCTTTCAGATTTGCCAAAATTCCAGTGTTTGTTATGTAGTATGACTAGAGTATATTAATTTACATGGATTTGAATAGGAAATGTATTAATTATCTTTCTATACAGAATCTCTGTTCTGATATTTGTGGCAGAAAAGATTATATTTCTCACATATTAAAGTTGCACTTACCAGGGATATCGTAATTTGCATCGGTAGGATTTGGAACAGGAGCTGGAAAACAAATGGTTAAGAAGATGGGGAAAACGTAGGGTAAACACATAATTTTTAATTGTGTAATGCAGTTCATGACGATGATGGGGGTCTCCTATCAATTTGATTGGTGAATGATATTAAGTTGACTATCTATATCACCGTACATATTTATAGAGAATATGGTTTTGCCATAAATAATTCCTATAACTGTCCAGCATTCATATGGATGGACACCACAGAACCGACCACACACTGGAAGGGGTGTCACCTCCTTTCCAGGCCTGCTGTTGTAGCACAAGCCTTAATTGCACCTGTCCCACCTCAGGACCACAAAGGGGAAGTGATGTGCAGGCCTATCTTTGTCATGCTAGAGCTCTACCTTAGAAAAATCTGTTCCTGATCTTTATTCGGCTTTGAGACCTTGCAGTATTTGGTGCTGTGTATTTGTGCTGTGTATTTGTGCAGTATTTGGCCCTCAGAAAACAGAGATGGGGGAGGGCACAGTTGCCATCGCCAATGGGTAGAGGAAGTATTACACAGAGTCAGTGACACAAACTGGGCTTGGCAGAAGCCCCCCAACAGTGTCTCATGGAGGAAAGGGCTGGGGAAAGTGACACTGCGTGTATTAGTTGAGAGCACCATTAAATACAGTGCTTTCAGGTTCCCTAACTAACCAGGAACTAAACCTGGTCAGGGATTTACAGTATTAGACAAACTTCTGCACCTGCACAGTACCATGAGAAGCCCTCTTAACATATCTCTTTATTATTATTTTAAACAGATGAGATTCAGGAGGCAAGGAGGCAGCCTTAAATCCTTCCATCCAGCAAAAAAGGCTGCTCATGAGGTATTAGGTTCTTTTCCCGTTGGGTCATCTTAGTTAACCTCTCCTAGAGGATGACCTATCAATCTCCTTGTCCTTCTTAACTCCTCAGTAGTGCACACCTGCAGAAACTCAGCACCAATAGTACCTACTGTTGTGCTTTGGAGACGAGGTCAGGATACCTGTTTCTGCTGCTCCTTCCTTTCTGAGGGCTGGGTTGGCTTAAGGCTGAGATCTTAACCACACCTTTGAAGCTGGGACTGCTTGTGTACCCAATCCATAATTCCAGTATAGGCTGCATCCTTGGCCATTAGCTTGTGCATCAATTGGTTCCTCCTCAGGCTTCCTCCTGGTTCCTCAGTTCCCCCATAAGACACACCTGCTCTGAGTGTGTCTTATCCCCTCTCTTCATAGGACACACTTTCTCTGACACAATAGTCACAATATATCCTTTTTCAACTTTTACTCTTCCCAACCCCCAAAATGATAAAAATACTGTTATCCATTCCTGTTGCATTTGGAAATTAAAGTTCTTCCAAAACATAGTGTTCCCAAAAAAGTAAGATTTTGGGTTTTTTTGTTTTTGTTGTTTTTGCAAGAAAGACTGTTCTTTTTGTAATACCAGTGAGATGAAAATGAATATAACCATTTTTTAAATGATTTGTTTTCCCCTACATTTTAACCACTTCAAATGAATATTATATATTTCCAATAGTTTAATAATCATTTAATAGTTTAAGAAACTAGATGGAAAACAATTCAAGTAAATAACTGACTATGATCCAGTGCAATTATATAGAAGTGCAAAGGTTAATGAAATACTGTATCTGTAGAGAGCAACTGGGTTGAGAAATGATAGAACTTGAGAATAACCTAGAACAGGGGAGGGGAATCTTAGGACCAGGGGCTGGATGTAGCCTCTGGCTTGCCTGAATCTGACCCCTGAGGCTCAACATTGGAGCCAACTCCCTCAACAGACACAGTTCTCAGGGTGTTGCTGTATCATGGTGTAGTTGCATGTTGCAAGGGATCCCACTAGACCTTCTGCAGGACTCCACATTGAAGAGATGCCAGGTGAGGACACTCTTACACCTGCCACCTCCATCTCTTTGTCTCGCCTCTCACTTATCTTCCACATTGCAGCATATTTATCTTCCTTTTATTTATTGGTTTATTTTAGTCCATTTCTATTTGTTGGTTCTCATCACACCTCTTCCTAATTAAGAAAAAAACCCTGACTACTTATTTGGACAGGAATTTCACATTTACTTCCCATGGCTGGGCAAATTAATTTGTCAGGTCCTCTGCATTATTGTCTTCCCTCATTCCCTGACATCCGTTTAATCCCAACCACCTTGGTGAACCATTTGGAGGAGAACAATGTTGTGCTGGCTGTATGCCCTTACAAATGCCCGCTTGTCTTTAGCACAAGGGCATAAATGTATTTTTGGTCTGAAACCACTTTCTCTGACTACTGGGACTCTGATTACCTCCCTTGTTTATGTTGGGGGATATTTTCAAAATCATTGAAGGGATTTAAATTCCCAACTCTCATCGTAAGTCAATGAGAGTTGAGTGCTTAACTACATTTGTGTCTTTCAAAATCTCCAGCTATTTATGTGCTATTGCGGAGATGAAGGCTTATTTTGGCTTGTTAAAATCCAGATACATTTATTATGTTGGATTTATTTTATATTTACTCCAAAGTTACATATTGTGGAAAATGTATATATTATAGAATGCAACTACAAAGTAACCCTGGCATGAAAAAAAAATATTTACAGTCCCTGGACTCAAAAATGAAATGTTCTGGCCTTCCATGTCTTGTTATTTGTCCCATAAATCATGATATTCTACACAGTTTATGATTTCACTTACCAGTAGGTGTCATATTTGAAAGATAGTCAGATGAAACTGGAAAAGAACAGATAAAAAAGTCAACAAAATGCGAATGAAGTAGGGATTGTTAGATGGCCTAGAAAGGATTAAAATCCCCATATTCAAATAGTTCTCTTCAAGTGGTTGAATGATGTCACACAGGGGATTGAGTGGGTATAGAGGAATGAGAAACTATGTTTGATAACCATTTAGTAGTTTAAGAAACTGAATGGAAAACAATTCAAGTAAATAACTGACTATGATCCAGTGCAATTGTATAGAAGTGCAAAGCTTAATAAAATTCTTTATCTGTAGAGAGAAAATGGGTTGAGAAATGATAGAACGTGAAGATGACCTAGAACAGGGGTGGGGAACCCCAGGCCCAGGGGCCGGATGTAGCCTCTGGCTTGCCTGAATCTGACCCCCGAGGCTCAACACTGAAGAAGCCCCGCCAGCGCACCAGACCCCTGCCATCCACCCACAGTGCAGGCACTCACAAAATCGACTATCTTGGGTTCCCCTATGTGCTGGTGTGCAAGGAGAATGTGAGGAATGCGTGGGCAGTGCTAAGGACAGACTGCCATCAGCCCTACCTCTTCTTCAGGTGTGGAGCCACCTCCCCCTCACCTTGCTCTGGGGCCCGTCATGGCTGGTGACCCCATAAATCATGATATTCAGCACAGTTTATGATTTCACTTACCAGTACGTGTCATATTTGAATGAAAGTCAGATGAAACTGGAAAAGAACACATTAAAAGTTCAACAAAATGTGAATGAAATAGGGCTTGTTAAAAGGCACAGAAAGGATTAAAATCCCCATATTCAAACAGTTCTCTTCAAGTGGTTGAATGATGTCAAAAAGAGGATTGGGTGGGCATAGGGGAATGAGAAACTATGTATCATCCCATAGGGAATGTTCCATCAAACCTTCATGGACTGTGTCAAGAGGAAGCATTGTGATGATCTTTTGGCTGAAGTTCTTGAGGCAGCCAACAACATACAATAGCACAATCAAATTTAAAGGTTTGGTGAGAGGCAAGAGGAGAGGCTCACACTCGCTTCACATTTCAAGGTCAGTCCAGGAACAGGCAATTAATTCAAAGTTCCTATAACAGGAATGATAGAATCATAGAATCACGGAACACTAGAACTGGAAGGGACATTGAGAATTCATTGAGTACAGTCCTCTGTCCTCACAGCAGGACCCAGAACCATCTAGACCATCCCTGATAGATGTTTATCCAATTTGCTCTTAAATATCTCCAGAGATGGAGATTCCACAACCTCCCTAAGCAATTTATTCCTGTCTTTAACCACCCTGATAGTTAGGAACTTTTCCCCAATACCCAACTTAAACTTTCCTTGCTGCAGATTAAGCCCATCACTTCTTGTCCTATCCTCAGAGGCCAAGGAGAACAATGGTTTCCCTCCTCCTTGTGGCACCCTTTTAGATACCTGAAAACTGCTCTCATGTCCCCTCTATCTTCTCCTTTCAAAACTAAACAAGCCCAGTTCTTTCAGTCTTCCGTCATTGTTCATGTTCTCCTTTAATTATACGTGCTGCTCTTCTCTGACCTTCTCCAATTTCTCCACATCTTTCTTGAAATGTGGTGCCTAGAACTGGACACAATACTCCCACTGAGGCCTACTCAGTGCAGAATAGAGCGGAAGAATGACTCCTCATGTCTTGCTCACAAAACTCCTGTTAATGCATCCGAGAATCATGTTTGCTTTTTTTGCAACAGTGTCACGCTGCTGACTCATATTTAGCTTGTGGTCCAGTATGACCCATAGATCTCTTTCTGTAGTAGTCTTTCCTAGGCAGTCACTTCCCATTCTGTATGGGTACATCTAAACTACATGCCTCCGTCGACGGAGGCATGTACATTAGACAGATCAGCAGAGGGAAATGAAGCCGCAATTAAAATAATCATGGCTTCATTTAAATTTAAATGGCTGCCCCGCTCTGCCGATCAGCTGTTTGTCGGCAGATCGGGGCAGTCTGGACACGCCGCGTCGACAAAGAAGCCTTTCTTGATCAGCACAGGTAAACCTGGTTTCACGAGGCATAGCTGTGCCGATCAAGAAAGGCTTCTTTGTCGGCGCGTCGTGTCCAGACTGCCCCGATCTGCCGATCAAGAAAGGCTTCTTTGTCGATGCGGCGCGTCCAGACTGCCCCGATCTGCCGACAAACAGCTGATCGGCAGAGCGGGGCAGCCATTTAAATTTAAATGAAGCCGCGATTATTTTAATCGTGGCTTCATTTCCCTTTGCCGATCTGTCTAATCTACATGCCTCCATCGACGGAGGCATGTAGTCTAGACACACCCTATGTGTGAAACTTATTATTCCTTCCTGAGTGAAGTACTTCACATAAGTCCTTATTAAACATCTTCCCATTTACCTCAGGCCTTTTCTCTAGTTTGTCCAGATCATTTTGAATTATGATCTGGTGAACAGAGATTTGCCATCCCTTTCATGAACCTCCTACTGATTCAGTGAGCGAACACCGAATAGCCCTCCTTTGGGTGTCAGAAGCCAGTGATCGCAGCAACGTATACCTTGAGAGTTGACAGCTCTTTAGGCCGGAATATTTTAAATGCAGGGTGTAGTTGAGAATGTGATGGATAGGGGCAGAGGTCAGATCTAGACTGTTGTCTGTGCACCAGGAACAAAACCTATGCTGCATGTGCAGGTAAGTAGTCCAAGTGGTGGGTCTTCTACTCGGGAGCAGGACATGTTGAACATCTTTGAGAACAGGTCATTTCTGTGTCTCGGAACCAACTCGGAACCATGCTGTGAGTTGAAGGTGATTGTATTGAGGGTGCATTAGGGTTCCCTGGTCCTGCATCAACAGGTCGTGGCTCCTGGGAAAGTGATAAGGTGGATGAGGAGATATGTGAAAAAGATAAGTGAACCATGACTGACATGACCAAAAGGGGGCTATGAGGTTTACTATTGAGTTGTCCCTGATCTTTTCTAAGACTCTCAGTATCAGGGTAGTTGGAGGAAAGGCATAGAATAAGTGAGTGCTCCAGTTGAGGAGAAAAGCATCTCCCAGCGATCTCAGACCAATGCCCACTCTGGAGCAGTAGTACTGGCATTCCGCGTTTTGATGAGTGGTGAATAGGTCTATGGTCAGAAAGCCCCAGTGGACGAAGATGTCTTGTAGTACCCGATAATGTAGTTCCCACTCATGGTTCATGACAAAGGACCTACTGAGTGTGTTAGCAGTGGTGCAGTCTTTGCCGGATATGTATAATGCTAGAATTGTTACGTTGTGGTAGATGCACCAGTTCCATAAGTGCATTACCTCTGCGGGTTTATGTAGAAAACTGTGGTCATGTTGCACCCTGATGTGTGGCCTTGGATAAGAGTGACAAAGTGCTTGCATGCATTGAAAACCACTCTCAATTTTAGGAAGTTGATATGATGGGAGGTTTCTTGTATGGACCAGCAGCTCTGAATGAGATGGCCATTGAGATGTGCTCCCCAGACTACCAAAAATGCATTGGTTGTAATTTGCATCATGTGTTGAGGTTACTGGAAGGGTATGTCAGCTTACATGTTGGCAGGGATGGTCCATCATCTCCTCCAAAGCAGATGCAAGCCCTCCCAGCTTTCAGGAAGTCTCGGCATCTTTTTATAGCATAACTGTCTGGCTAACCATTCTCAGAGAGTAGTTACTAATGGTTCACAAACCTGCTGGAAGAGCATAAGAAGTGGGGTTCCACACTTAAAACTTTTCCGTTAAAAGCATTTACGGAAAAGAGCGTCTAAATTGGCACGGACGTTTTTCCGCAAAAGCACTTTTTGTGGAAAAGCATCCGTGGCCAATCTAGATACACTTTTGCGCAAAAAAGCCCCGATCTCCATTTTTGCGATTGGGGCTTTTTTGCACAAAACAAATCTGAGCTGTCTACACTGGCCCTTTTGTGCAAAAGCTTTTGCGCAAAAGGACTTTTGCCCGAATGGGAGCAGCATAGTATTTCCGCAAGAAGCACTGATTTCTTACATGAGATCGTCAGTGTTCTTGTGGAAATTCAAGTGGCCATTGTAGACAGCTAGCAAGTTTTTCCACAAAAGCAACTGCTTTTGCGCAAAAACTTGCCAGTCTAGACACAGCCCATAAGTTTACTCTTATGCCAATATGTAAATCATAGATGAAGACATTGAACAGAACTGGTCCCAAAACAGACCCCTGTGGAACCCCACTTCTTATGCTCTTCCAGCAGGTTTGTGAACCATTAGTAACTACTCTCTGAGAATGGTTAGCCAGACAGTTATGCTATAAAAAGATGCCGAGACTTCCTGAAAGCTGGGAGGGCTTGCATCTGCTTTGGAGGAGATGATGGACCATCCCTGCCAACATGTAAGCTGACATACCCTTCCAGTAACCTCAACACATGATGCAAATTACAACCAATGCATTTTTGGTAGTCTGGGGAGCACATCTCAATGGCCATCTCATTCAGAGCTGCTGGTCCATACAAGAAACCTCCCATCATATCAACTTCCTAAAATTGAGAGTGGTTTTCAATGCATGCAAGCACTTTGTCACTCTTATCCAAGGCCACACATCAGGGTGCAACATGACCACAGTTTTCTACATAAACCAGCTGGAATCCTGTAGGCCTGGTACAAATTCCCGAGCCCCTTTAGTAACCTTTTAGTGAGCAGATGGGCGAACAGCGAATGACCGTCGATGGGAAGATGGAAGGCTGAGATTGCTGCCAGGTGAACTTTCAGCAAAACAATTGCCGACCCCCCTCCCCCCGCCTTTAGGTGGAGCGTGTAATCCAGTACCTGCTGCACCGGTACAGAGAGAGGGTCAAGATTCCTCACCGCACACCAAGATTGGAACCAATACCATTTGTAGAGGTAGGTCTTGTGAGTGATCTGGCACCTGCTGTTTATCAGCACGTCTCACTGCCTGAGAGCAGGTCATTTCTGGCAGTTGGAGCCAGTTAGGAGCCATGCCGTGAGGTGCATGCAATCGATGCCCGGATGCACCATCGTACTGTGCTGTTGAGACAGCAAGTTGGACAGCAGCGGTAGTCATCGTGGCTGAGCGACCAACCTTTTTGACAATTGTATCAGCCAAGTCTGTCGGGGCCAAAAGGGTGCTATGAAAATCACTGTCACACCCTCCATCGCTATCTTCTCCAGCGCCCTCAGAATGAGAGGAAGAGGAGGAATAGCGTAGAGTAATTGGTGACGACTCGAGTCGAGTAGGAAAGCATCTCCCAAAGAGCTCATGCCGATGCCCGCCCACGAACAGTAACCATTTCACTTTTTGTTGAGGTGAGAGGCAAAGAGGTCTATACTTGGGAACCCCCAGAGATGGAAAAGATCGCAAACATCTTTGTTGTGTAACTCCCACTTGTGTTGGGGAAGGAAGTGCCTACTGAGGGCATCGGCGATGCCATTGTCCTTGCCGGGAAGGTATGATGAGGTAAGGGTTATACCATGCCGAATTGCCCAGTTCCACAGTCGTATAGCCTCCGCACAAAGGGGATGTGAGCGTGCACCACCTTGCTGTTGATATAGTACATCATGCATATATTATCGGTGAGAATGTGAACCGTAAGACCTCGGATCATATGGAGGAAGTGCCTTCAGGCATTGAATACAGCTTGCAACTCAAGGAATTTTATGTGCTGTAGGGATTCCTGGGGCGTCAAGAGCCCTTGACCTTGATGTTCTTGCAGATGGGCACCCCCACCAATCAAGGAA